ACTGGCGAGTTAAAACAGTTATAACGAGGGAGTTTAAGGGAGGCGTGGGGCGCCGCTGGAAAGGGAAGGGGGGGCGCTGGATTTCTAACACCTAACTAAACCAGAGCAGCGCAGAGAAACAGACCGCGGCCAAATAACCGGTTTATCATCTTGACCAGAATCATGAAACTAAAAAAAGAAAATGAAACTAGATTAATCGTCCAGTCGTGCGTCACGCAGCTTCGTTTACGCACCGAGACGACGACGACGACGACGACGACGACGACGACGACGACAACAACAACAACAACAACAACACGCCGCTCCAGAAACTCCGGACCGACGGCCCGGGCAGGTTTGACCACGCAGCAGGAAACACACCCTCTCAATTTATTTATTTACTGGAAGTCAGCTGACACACACACACACACACACAGACACACACACACACACACACACACACACACACACACACACACACACACACACAGACACACTCACACACGCACACTGACACACACTCACACACGCACTGACACAGACACACACACAGACACACACACACACACAGACACACACACACACACACACACACACACACACACACACACACACACACACACACACACACACACACACACACACACACACACACACACACACACACACACACACACACACACACACACACACACACACACACACACACACACACACACGCACTGACACACACACTCACACTCACACAGACACACTCACACACACACACTCACACACACACTCACACACACAGACACACACACACACACACACACACAGACACACACACACACACACACACACACACACACACACACACAGACACACACACTCACACTGACACACACGCCTCAACCTGAAACAGAAAGTGGACAAAAGTGTGAAAAACACAGACATACCAAAGACCAAACACAGTCCAGCTCTGTGTGTGTGAGTGTGAGTGTGTGAGTGTGTGTGTGTCTGTGTCTGTGTGTGTGTGTGTGTGTGTGTGTGTGTGTGTCTGTGTGTGTCTGTGTGTGTGAGTGTGTGTGTGTGAGTGTGTGTGTGTCTGTGTGAGTGTGTGTGTGTCTGTGTCTGTGTGTGTGAGTGTGTGTGTGTCTGTGTCTGTGTGTGTGAGTGTGTGTGTGAGTGTGTGAGTGTGTGAGTGTCTGTGTGTGTGTGAGTGTGTGTGTGTGTGAGTGTGTGTGTGTGTGAGTGTGTGTGTCTGTGTGAGTGTGTGTGTCTGTGTCTGTGTGTGTGAGTGTGTGTGAGTGTGTGTGTGTGTGAGTGTGTGTGTGTCTGTGTGAGTGTGTGTGTGTCTGTGTCTGTGTGTGTGAGTGTGTGTGTGAGTGTGTGTGTGTGAGTGTGTGTGTGTCTGTGTGAGTGTGTGTGTCTGTGTCTGTGTGTGTGAGTGTGTGTGAGTGTGTGAGTGTGTGAGTGTGTGTGTGTCTGTGTGTGTGTGTGTTAAAGCTGACAGATGATTTCTCTGAAATGCAACACGGAGCAAAGAAACGAGCCTCTGAAAATAGAAGTGAGAAGAATCGCTGAGAGGAAACAGAACCAGTCATTTTGTCTCCGCTGCGACTTAAAGACGTTTTCCTCTCCGGACGCTGACTGAAAGCTAAAAACGTTATTCTGATTAAACTGACCTGAAGACACACAGTGAACAGTCCCAGGACGCCCCCTGCTGGCAGAGCTCAGTCCTGCACCAGAGGCACTGTTTTCTTTTTGTTGGCCAACTTTTGTATTGAGTTGTTTTGTTGTTTGCTTGCTGGATCCAGAAAGAGGTTTTTGTTGAGAGTACTGAGAGCAGGACTCTGGACTCTGGAGCTCTACGGTGTAACACACTGTGGGAACTCTGCAGGCCGTCCTAGGATTCTAGTTTGACACATCTCCTCCAGCACTGCTCACAAAGCCTCATATTTCACTCCCTTTCTGAGCCACATCTACAGTAATGATGACGTTTGCAGACGACATCAGACGACACCATCATCATCACCATCATCATCATCATCATCATCACCACCATCATCACCATCACCATCACCACCATCATCACCATCATCATCACCACCATCATCACCATCATCATCATCATCATCACCACCATCATCATCATCATCACCATCATCATCATCATCACCACCATCACCATCACCATCATCATCATCACCACCACCATCATCATCACCATCATCATCATCACCATCATCACCATCATCATCATCATCACCATCATCATCATCACCACCATCATCATCACCATCACCATCATCATCATCACCATCACCATCATCATCATCGCCATCATCATCATCATCATCATCATCATCACCACCATCATCATCATCACCATCACCATCATCACCACCATCATCATCATCACCATCATCGCCATCATCATCACCATCACCATCATCATCATCACCACCATCATCATCATCATCATCACCATCATCACCATCATCATCGCCATCATCATCACCATCATCATCATCACCAC